AGTGTTTAACAATGCAAATGAGATAACTCTATGTGATTGTTCATATTTATTTATTTTTGTATATTGAAAACACCCCACACATTGTAACCTTGTTGACAGGTATGGGTCTTCTTAAGACTGAATTCAAAACTTGTATATGAAAATGACAATCGAAAATAAGTATTTCATCTTGCTCTAAAGACAATAGGGGTTATTTATAAACAACACTTCTGATGAAAATTTTAAAATTAGTCAACCGTCCATGTTTGCATGACAATTGCTTAATTTTTAGTACTTTTTCCCAGAATTGTTATACTAAACAACTCCAGTGTATGATTTGGCTTAAACATAAAGGTATTACTAAGGTAATGGTTTATTTGTAAGAAAGAAAAAAAAAACATTGAAATATTGTATTTCCCGAAAAATAGGTTTATATGAATGCAAGGATTTTAGTTAATGTTTTTTTTTTTTTTTTTATTAATTGTATCAAAGGCATTGTGAAAGACCTCTCTTTCTTTGGATTATTACTATTTAACCTTGATTCATCTGTTTGTTCGGTATTTGTTGTCCGTATGGCCCTGCTTTTATTCGCATAAATACAAATAAACTACCAAATGGCAGGCCACCCAGCACGGAAGTGTGCTGCTCGTTAACCTTTCTGCCCTCATTAACATTGTGGTTAACCGCAGACACTTCTAACTCCCGAACGGTCGGCTGGGTGGTCGTTGTTCGCATGAACGAACACGTGGCGGCGGCCATCTTGGACAGTCAAACGCCCAACGGTGTTCGTCGACGAACTCATGGAACTAATATCGAACACTATTTCCCATGAACACTGCTGAAGTCACCGACCCTTCCTCGTTCTGTTCCAGGTTTATATGAATGCCATGCCATTGGGTACATTGACTGTACATGTACAGAACTGCCCCAGATAGCCATCCCATGGAGCTCATTCGCCGAAAGCACCCTGTACCAGACTTTAGCTCCATGGCGATTGAACTGTATGTATGGGATCTGAGCTCTGTTCGGTTATATTGAGCCCTCAGATCTAAGCTATCTGGGGATACGGTAAATGTGGGAATTCTGTTTGGTAGTTTTGGAAATATGTAATTTTATGTGTTTTACTGTTCATACCAAAATGGAGGATATTCACTATCCCTGGGGGTAATTGAATTACTTCTAGCACTTAACCCAATTATCTCCAGGATAGAGAGGAAGAGTTGAAATGTTCATGTGGAAGTGTTTATTACTGTACATGTATTTGATTGGTTGCTGTACAAAACTGTCCCAGTCTTCCACAAGGTCCCTATGGGAGTGTCCCTTGCTGGAAGACCTGCATAAAAGACGGGCATGTAGCCCCAATTAAACAGATCCTGCTTGACCCTCAATACAGAGCCTCGTCTCGTACTTGGGGGGATTATTCATGTGTTCCCTGTTCAGCGCTTAGGAGTGTTCAGTAGCTGACTTCTCATTCGGGAAAGGGAACGTCTTTGGCGGCATTAGCCCCTCCTATACCCGGGGTGCCATTACAGGTATCATAGTGTTATGAACAGTAGTGCAAGGCTGCGCCAAAATGTATCAATGTAGACTTATAGGAAATAAAAACAAGTATATAGATAGAGCATATATATATAAAATATATATATATAACCTAGGTATAATAGTCTTAATTAAAACACCATAAAAAAGTAGGTAAAACAGAGTCCATCCAAGTGTTGAAATGTTCAGTAGAAATTAAATAATAAAATGTTCAATAAAAATCATAAAACCGTCTCACAAGTATATGGATAGGGTATGTGTACAATCCTCAGGAGTTGAATCGTCCAGGTTGTAGGTAATCCGTATATGTGAAGATAAAAAACACGACAAACTTCCAATGGTGAAATATTGTAGCTCCAAAGGTAAAATAAATAAAAAGGAGAATAGTACACTCACATTTGGTAGAGGTAAGACCAGCTCTGGGATGGAGGGCGCTTAGCGGTATAATCCCCGCTAAAGGATATACTGGAGAAGTGGGTCCGTCCGTCCGACTTTGTTCCGTCGTACTCCACAGAATATATATAAAAACAGCAATAGTGCTCTCAGTTGGAAAAGTAAATAAAATAGGTAAAATAAAATATACTCACAATGGTAGAGCAGAAAATACTGCTCTATTGACACCTATGGATTGCTTGAAACAGGATATCCTGGTGGAATTATCCCCACCTATGGATTGCTTGACATGCCTGCCCAGCGCCGCCCACCCGCTCGGCATGTCTGTTAGCCACAAGGCTAACAAGGCATTTGCCCTGGGCATTTGAGGGCGGCGTTTTTTGCCGCCCCCTGAAAAATGCCGCCCAAGGCAAATGCCTTGTTTGCCTCACGGCTAAAACGCCCCTGATTATTAGCACTGACCTCTTTTAACTTTTCACACCATGGTGTTATGATAGCTATTATAGATTTTTCAGTTCTCTTTTTTTTGTATTGTGAAGCTTTGCATTATATTCTGTTTAGTTTATAAATCTAGTAACCTACTGCAATCTATAATTGCAATAGGTTAAATTGATATGTAAGCACATAATCTCACACAAAATAACTTTCTGGACTACTACACACTGTAAAGCTTGCTCCAATATTTTATAAGCTACTGACTACAATTTGATCACAGAATAGTATCTATCTTTATTTTCTGTACATTTTACATTTGTACGTCTGTACATTATATCCCAGCCTCTATATATAAACTGGAGTCACGTATCGCTGCACGCACATGAGGTCTTATTAGTGTAGGGAGAGGATGCTGCCACTGTGAGGGACAGCTTAGGAAAGAATTCTGCAAACTAGTACATTAGTGGGGTGCACTTCATGTCTGATAGTCAAATAGAAGCTTCAAATACCGCAGTTACATCGTAGTTTTAAAAAGTAATTTTATTTTGGTGCTAAATAGTACATTAGTGGGATAGTACATTAGTGGGGTGCACTTCATATCTGAGAGTAAAATAGAATCGTCAAATACTGCTGTCACATTGCAGTTTTAAAACTTAAAATTTTTTGGGTGCTAAACTGCTAAATAGTATTTTAGTAGGGTGCACTTCATATCTGAGCGTCAAATAGAAGCGTCTACTAGTGTTGTAAAAATTCTAATTGTTTTGCTGCTAATCTGCTAAATAGTACATTTGCACTTCATATCTGAGAGTCAAATAGAAGCATCAAACAGTGCGCTTACTGCGCAGTTGAAAACATTTTTATTGTTTTGCTGCTAATCTGCTAAATAGTACATTTTGTGGCCTGCTCTTCATATCTGAGGGTCAAATCGAAGCGTCAAATAGTGCGCTTACTGCGCAGTTGTAAACATTCTAATTGTTTTGCTGCTAATCTGCTAAATGGTACATTTTGCGGCCTGCACTTCATATCTGAGAGTCAAATAGAAGCGTCAAATACTGTGGTTACAGCGCAATTGTAAACATTCTAATTGTTTTGCTGCTAAACTGCTTAATAGTACCTTTTGTGCGTGCTCTTCATATCTGAGAGTCAAATCGAAGTGTCTAATAGTGTGCATACAGCACAGTTGTAAAAATTCTAATTTTCTGGGTGCTAATCTGCTAAATAGTACATTTGCGCCCTGCGGAGCACTTCATATTTGAAAGTCAAATAGAAGCATCAAATAGTGCGCTTACTGCGCAGTTGTAAACATTCTAATTGTTTTGCTGCTAATCTGCTGCTTACATTGGAGTTTATAAAATAATTTTTTTTTTTTTTGGTGCTATATAGTATATTTGGGTTGTTCACTTCATATATGAGAATCAAATCGAAGCGTAACTTTGATTCAAATTTACAACATCAGTCACTTGTAATATACAACAATTGTTACACAGATCTAAGTGATAGAAAACAGATTGATATTTTCTACACTAGAAACTACCAGATAACAAGCTGCTATATTTAAACCAGTTATCAATAGCTAAGAGGTACTTAAACAATATTGTAATTCTGGGGCAATACCCTCACAAGTCAAACTGAGAGGTCAGTTTATAGGGAAAACTGTTGCCTGGATACAATTCTAAAACAATTTCCATATGTCCTTTGCAGACTTTACATGCTGGAAAAACACAGGTGCCAACTGCTGTGGCTTTCTGCAGTGTGCATACCGGCAAGGAGGGCAGGGTTGAGGAGTGGGTGGAAGATGATGTGGAGGATGATGAGGTCCTAGACCCCACATGGAATCAAGGTCATGCGAGTGACGTGTGCAGTTTGGATGAAGAGGCGCTGGTCGCACAGAGGCACCAGCACAGCATAAGAGGGAGCAGGGTGCAAAACCGGAGCGGCCGTCCCCTAGCGCTTGTCGGCATTTATTAGCTCGAGATTTACCAGTTGTCCAAGTAATACATGTAGCGATCAAAGGATCTAGAATAGAGTTGAGCGAACCCGAACTTTGCAGTTCATACCAGATTTAACGATCCATTTGTAGTTTCACAGTCAGGTGGGCAGTCCGGTGACCAGGACCCAGACACTGTCTGGGCGGCGGTCGGGCGACCGGGACCCAGTATGCCTGATGTTGAAGTTAGGAGTCACAGTGTGGAATGGATTAGCAGGGTCTGGTGCAGGGTAACCACACGCCCCCTGGTGTTGAGCACCAGCATTTGTGCGGCAACATACCAGGACTCTGATGCAGCTTCAGTAAAAAGAGTACTGGATACCAGAAGCCACCACCAGACTGATCCGCAACTTGAAACAGGATGTGACATTTACTGTAGCGGCTGTGCGCGCTTTTGGCGTTCTCACCCTGCTGCTGCCCGTCTGTCTGCGCTGCAGCGTAACTTCGGCCTTCCCACTCACCGCCTCATGAGACTGTGTGAGCAGCAGCAGGCGATAGTGGAGTTTCAGCTGCAGCATGCACGGGTCAGTCGCTCTACACCAGACTTCCCTCCAATTGATCAGAGTTAAAGGATTTCAAGTGGACTCATTACAATTACTCTAAAGAGTCCTGTATTGTTATTTGTCGTCACTACCTTCCCGCATCAGGAGTGGGTCATTTGCGCGCCTGCTGCCTTCCTTAAATGTGGAAGCCATTTCTCAGGGTCCCTGTACGGAATGGAACCCTGATTCCCCATTACACGTGGTCACCATGGTAGGCGCAGAAACTGGCATCGAAAGTTGATATGGATGACATCCGAATGCAAAGTCGCTGTCACGTGGATTTGCGATTGGCCAGAAGTTCTCTAGAGTCAACAAAGTACCTGCGCAACTATCATGTCAGCAGCTACTTTGCGGAACAGAGTTGTCTTTTTTTATATGCCCCAACATTTGGGGGGCTACACCGCCATGGTCACCGCCTCCTCAATCTAGGGGTCACTTAGTATAAACTATGTACAAGATAGCAGAGGCTTGTGAAGGCCTTTTCGCAAATGCATCAGGAGTTGAGCATTTCTCCATGCATCAGTACTGCAAGAAATGCACTGCAGGCCGCAAATGTTACTTTTTTGTATGTCCCAATATTTTGTGGGCTACCACAACTAAAAAAAACAAAAACATAAAAAACAGTGTTGGCTACCTCATCCTCCTCCTCCACCGCTGCTTCCACCTACACCGCCATGGTGACCGCCTCCTCAACCTATGGGTCACTTAGTATAAACTGTGTACACATTAGCAGAGGCTTGTGAAGGCCTTTTCTCCATGCATCAGCAGTTGAGCATTTCTCCATGAATCAGGACTACAAGAAATGCACCGCATGCCGCAAATGTATCTTTTTTTATATGTCCCAATATTTTGGGGGCTACCCCAATTAAAAAATAAATAAATAATAAATAAAAAAACAGTGTTGGCTACCTCCTCCTCCACCGCCGCTTCCACCTACACCGCCACGGTCACCGCATCCTCAACCTATGGTTCACTTAATATAAGCTATGTACACAATAGCAGAAACTTGTGAAAGCCTTTTCTCCATGCATCAGGAGTTGAGCTCAGTTTGAACAATGAAGGAGAATACCCCTGCACTCCAACCCTCTCTCAAATGGATAATTTTGGTGATCCTCCTGACAGCCATGCTTTAGATTTTGATTTATGTTCTTCCAAAGCTAAAATCAAAGATTCCATCTAGTGCTATTTTATGGCTCAGCTGTTTTTAATTTTTATGTTATTTTAAGTGATTTTCCTGTCCACATTTGTTTGCAGGGCACTTGTCCTACTCTTACCCCCATTTTACTTCCTTTTGCAGCTATCTAGCCCTTTCCAGGAGTTTTTTGGGGGTATTTTTGTGCCCAAAAGTTTGGGTCCCCATTGACTTCAATGGGGTTCGGGTTCAGGGTCAAGTTCGAGCACGAACCCAGACAGGTGTCCGCTCAACTCAAATCTTGACATTTGCATATTAGATGGATTTCCTGAAAGCACAAAGCCTATTGAATCCTAAAATCTAAAAATATGCCCTTATATCCTGAGTCTGGTTATAGCATATGTGAGACATGCCCTTTTCATATACTGTTATGCCATTGGATATGTTGTTCCAGCATGATAAAGTGCCACATTCCTGTGAGGTAAGAATAACCTAGAATAAGTAAATCACTATGTGTTATGCAATTTGGCCAAATTCAGGTCTGTCACAGTGCTTGGACAAAATTCTGATTTCTAAGCCACTACATGCCAGAATCTCTGGGGAACCAACTCGCACAAGCCTGAAAATGTTCGGTTCTAGATTCACCAGAAGAAAATGATGGAGATGGAGAGGAGAAGAGGATGTGCTTTTGTTGTTGTTTTGTTTTACTTTTGATGGAGCAAATAAGCTGCCCCTTAATTTCCCATGATGGACAAGGCGTATGCCACTCATGTGGGCTAGATTTCCTATCCATTCAAGAGGTAAAAAAGAATGATTAATGATTAGAGGACAGCCAGTAAATGGTGATTTTTATTCACAGAGCAAGTGATAACTGACCAAAAGATGGAAAATAGTAGGAACAGTAAACCTATCTATCCTTCCAAGTAGGATTTTTCAAGCCACTTGGATGGCAAATACTGAGGGAAAAAGACCAGCAGTGATGCAGTGCATCTTAGTATTGCTGTACCTATATTGGAGTGGTAGACAACTAGATCATTGATTCTAGTGTGAGACTAGGTTTCTCTTTCTGCAGTATCAAACTACCAGCTCCTGCCAGGGGAAAGAAATTTGAAGATAGGAAATAAGCATTTTGTCATTGATACTAGTGTGAGACTTGGTCACTATTACCAATATTCAGTTGGTATTTTATTTTATATTTTGTTAAATGTTTGGTGAAAGAAAATTCTTATTTTGGGGAGTGTAGTTTGTTTGATCCTTCTCATAAAATATATTTTTTAAACTGCAGATGATGTAAAAAATGTTTCACTGTGTACAAAGATAATAATAATTTGAATGCAATTGGAATAAAACATTATTAAAAAGCACTCTTTTATGAATAACCTCAGTAAGTTATCGAGTCATCTTTAACACTATCTTTTAGATGGATGTTTAAATTTATGTTTGTCTTTTAGAAATATGTTGCCTTCTTTTGGTGTGCTGGGAAGAAATGTTGTAAGGTCAGGGTTGTTTCTGAAATACAAGATCAATAGGGAAGATAATCGTGCAATACCTCTGAGTTTTGTCATGTCTGACCTTGAAGCAGTGGATTATTGCTCAATATATGATGGAGAAATGTTTCATCTTCCTGAGTACGTTTTACTAATTTAAATGAATAAACCACAGCTTCCATGGCAGACATAACACAGACAAGGAAATACAAAAATCAAATAGGTGTCACAAAAACATAAACAAAGCTATAAATTGATACACTAACCTTTTCACTTCTGAAAACATATTTCTAGTTCAATTTGCACGTAATTATATCCAATATGTTTAAAAAATCTGTTAGGAACCTGAAACCTTTGGATTTTGTTAATAGTGTTTAACTGGAGTTTTAAAATATTTTTCTTTATTTTATGATTTTAAAAAGTTAAGAATTTAAAATTATGTTTCCCTGTGTAAAATCAAACTGTCATTAAAGGTTTTTTTTGCTTGTTTGTTTGTTGTCTTCTGACTAAATATAATGATAATTAGGAGTGTTGAATGATTTATTTCTACCATGTCTATTTTTACATCTATATAACATATTAAAATGCTATGAAATGGAAAACCAATAGTGATGTCCCGATCGGTTTGCCGAACGGTTTGCCGCGAACGGTTCGCCGCGGACTCATCATTGAGTAAACTTTGACCCTGTACCTCACAGTCAGCAGACACATTCCAGCCAATCAGCAGCATACACATTCCAGCCAATCCCAGACCCTCCCGCCTCCCAGACCCTCCCGCCTCCTGGACAGCTCACTAAGAATGCAGCTTCACAATGAATGTAAAATGGATGCTGTCCAGGAGGTGGGAGGGTCTGGGAGGGAGGGTCTGCTGCTGATTGGCTGGAATGTGTCTGCTGACTGTGAGGTACAGGGTCAAAGTTTACTCAGTTTACGTTAGGCGAACCGTTCAGGACATCACTAAAAACCAATAATTCAAAAATTAAAGCGTAAATAAATAAAATACAAAATACAATTTTTGAAACACATGCATCATATACCAAGGGATGAGAAGTACACATTTAATATAAAAAAATATGTGTATTGTATAAGTGAATCCAAGGAGGAGGCCAATGTAATTCAGATCACAGGCAAATAGATCATGGATTCATAATATTGTGCAGTGAAGGAAATAATGCACTTCTAAAATGGATAAACATTTTCCAAGTCCATATGGCAATAAAATTTAAATGCTGGATATTATATGAAGTACTTGGAAAATTATCCATGCTCAGACACATTATTATTAAAGAGACATAATAGGCACACAAACCACTTCGTCTCAATGGAGTGGTCTGTGGTGCCATGTCCCCCTAGTTTTTACCCTGCAAGTGAAAACAATAATGTTTTGTAGGAATACTGTTTATATTGCATGGTTTAAATGCACTTCCAATAAAATAGCTGAACGAAACTTGGCAAATTCAATCAGAAATGCAGTTAGCCTTGTGTTGGTTTAGCTGAACATTGTATTGGTGGAGGTGTTCCAGCATGATGAAGTCCAGTGTGGTGATGGTTGAAAGATAAGTAAAACTTTATAACATATTTGTTTTTTAACATTTACTGTGCCCTATTACACATTCTTAGCAGCCACACCCACCCCTTTAAAAAGTATAAAAGAGACTAATAAATGTGCCTGTAATTCAGTGAAAGCACCTGGTGCTAATATGCATTCCTCTGTCTGATGACATTCCTGCACTTGTGCAGTCAAATAAAATTCTTCTGATATAGAAGAATTTGAGTGGACCATTTTGCAGCTCAGAGAACATGTACACTTTCTGCATTGTCGAGAGGAGTGAGTGAGGTTTTAAAAAAAAAAAAAAGAAGTGAGAAATTAATTTTTCTATGGAAGGAGGTGGGAGGAAGCACTAAGAGGGAGGGAATGGAGAGTAATAGTTCCCCTGCAGGTGTGCTTCCTGCAAGGTAGAAGATTATTATATCTGTCACCAGCTTACTGTGTGCAGATTTGATATTGAGTAGCCTGGAGCAGTGCCACATGTGTCAGGGGTTTTAACTAGCCCCTGAAACATTGCACATTCAGACTCCTACCACCAAGACCACAATAAATTATTGAAGTGGTCATAGTGTTTGGCGTAACCCTTTAAGCTCTCAGTACACATGGTCTGCAGACTTTGTCACTAATGCAAACAAAAACAGTTGATCGATATAGACCAGGCATTCGGAATTGATCTTGTGATATTAAAAGCAATTGTAGAATAAACTGAAAAAAGTGTAAAGAACAGTTGGATAATTCATGTTAGGAGGCAACAGCTAAAATAATGAATGGTCAAACAAAGACTAGCTCCTACAATAGCAAACCTCCAGCTTCCTAAAGTGTTTATTAGACTTTGAGATTTGTTTCAATTAGAACTAAAATTGGTCTGAATTCCCGAACTCTGAGCCAAAATGTCACCAAATCATGAACCAAATGAACAGCTCAATGGCTTAACACGTTTGTTGATTTTTTTCATGGCGTCAAAGCAAAAAGATGCAAATAAAGAAAGAAGATTGTTGTGGGATTGTCACTCAATGTTGATTTCCATCACAGATTAAGTGAGAAGTGAACAATAAAGGGGAAGAAAGAGGAAAAGAGGAATAGTGAAATTATATAGATAGATAGATAGATATAGTCAATACAATGTTAAACAAGTATCTGCACACCAGTCAAGCCATAAGACTTGCTTTTTCCACAGAAATCACAAATATGCAGTGATGTTACTACCACAAAGGATTCTGGGTGGGCATATGCAAATTAGTTTACCAAAGAATCACATTTTTGCCTCATTCCATTTTAAACATTGATTCCTTTAAGTCTGTATTTGCTGTATACAACAGTTTTGAAACACAACTTGGGAAAAGATGCAAAGT